CACCACCTTTGCCCCGGGCCCCCAGCCCCTCCCGGCTCCGGGGTCGGCCCCGACCGGGCCTCGGCCGCCGACGCGGTCAGCGCTCTGGGAACGTGGCGCCCCGGGTCACCTGACCGCGCGCCCCGTCAGTCAGCGCCGGCCCTGCGCGCTCTCCCGGCCCCGAGCCCGGCCTGGCGCTCCACTGGCCTGGGGCGGCGCGCAGCGAGCGGCACCGGGGCCAAGCCTGTGTGCCGGGACCCCGAGCCGGAGCTGGAATGGATGCCTCGCACAGACACAGCCCCCTTTATTCAGATTACCCGAAAATGGGAGTCACGCCCCCCCAGGCCAGAGGGTCTCTGATTAGGGTGATTTTTTTTTTTTTTTTTAAGAAATAAATCCCCTACTGTTCCCCAACTCTGCTCATCTCGCTTTGGTGACATTGCTCAACTTTTGGCCTGGTGCCAACAGTCTATTTATTGTACATAATTTTCTTAGTGTTATTTAGTATCAAGAATACACGAAATTTCGTCTATATTCGTTCATATATATGAATAATGTTTGCACTAGCCTTATTTTTTCTACTTTTCCAATATGCACACTCAAACACACATCTGCTAGAGACAGCCTGTTTCCAGCCTGAGGGGTTGGCCAGAAAATATTTGGGAAGAAATGAGCTTGTGCTGTGCGAGCATTTTTCTTATTCACACATTTCATTTCCCCGTTTATTTCTGTGATTCTTTTACATGATCACCACTTGGAAAGGGAAAGGGAAAGCAGTAACTTAAGTACCTAGTTTCTGTAAGGGAAAAGGAAAAAAGGATAAACTAGCCCTGGCTTAAAGCTCTCGCTCAATATTTGGAGTTAATTTAGGAGGCAATAAATATTAAACCACTAGGGGCCTTAAATAAATGTTTCAGAAAGAATTCACTAGCCTTTTCTTAGTTATAAAGTGAAAGGCTCCCCAGTCTCTAAGTGCCATGGGGAGGTTAGGAGGACGGTAGAAAGATGGTCTTCCTTAGAATCATTCTAGCTTAGCTTCCTTCTTTTTGAGGGTTGGCTTCATTTAAACCAAATAAAATCCAGAGGATTCGCTTGAAATGCATGCGATGTATTCATTCACTTTCATTCCTTCATTCATTTCATAAACACCAATGTGGGGCTGCCAGTTCTGCTGGCACTGTGAGTGAGGCAAAGATAAGTCATTAGAGATCTTAAAGAACTTACAATTTACTCGGCGAGATAAGGCATGTAAACAAGTAAATATACACAAGATCCAAGACCCCTTGCCCTATGAAAAGAACACAGCAGGTGCTACCTGAGCCTGGCTGTGTAGAAGCAGTGAGAGGTTTCTTTTTACTGATAATTCTATGAACACTAAGCTGTTCATCTCTGTGTCCTGGTTGAGTTGAGAGAAATGAAGACTTCCTCCTTTAAAATAGATACTATGGCCTCAATTGGAGTGCTGAGGGTTTTGCCACTTAAATCCATGTGAGAATAATGGGACTCATATTTATTTGGCTCACAATTATTGAAAAACATGTATGTGTGGGGTCTTATGATTTCTGGATTTGTAAGTTTTGAGGGTGCATGTAGTCAAGTTTCCCTGAAGGATGGAAGGAAAGGGATCTAAGGACAACCACCACCTTCTGCATGAATTGGGGTGCGGGGGCTGCAGGGACTCAGCCCATCCATTGGCTTCAGTGGCTTATGAGTTGGTTGCCTAGAGACCCTGCTTCTGGTCCTTCTTGCTACTGGGAAAAGCTGATACCATACTCTTTATAGGGGGTGGGCAAAAGAGGCCAAAAGAAATTCCCACTGGTGGAATGGCCAGAAGTCCCAGGCTGGCCCTGCCCCCATATCCATGGTTAAGTATGGAAACCACTCTTGGTGGGTGATCTTGACCACTGAGATCCTGACCGTAGAGCAGACAATACACTCTTCCTTCACATTCCTAGAATCTAGTCAGGGCAGTGGAGATAAGACACAGGAGGTGTGAGCAATTACTAGTGCACACACAACCAACGATCTTCCCACAGTCCATGCAGCAGGGGCATGGGCAGGGCTTGGAGGAGTCTTGTCTGCCCTTTCCAAAGAGGACTGTAGAGAATTTGGAGAAAGTGGTAGGAATGTGGCCCTGGGCCTGCTATTAATCCAAAGTCAAATTGCCGTGAAAGTCACAAGAAGTCAGTGAAAGTTGAATTGGTGTCATTGTAGGAGAGAAAGCCCTTGACATATGAGAAAACTATGGTATGAACAATGTTTATAGATTCGTATGTAAAGATATATATTTATGTAGGTATATATAATACAAAGGGACTTCAAAACTTCATGGAAAAATGAAAATACAGTTTACTTAAGTGCAAAATGCATAGTGCATATTTGTAAAAACGTATGCATGGATTTCAAAATGTTTTCACCAAAATAACTTGTAGTTTAATTTCATTTCCCATTAACTTTTTGAAGTCCCCTCCTATTGATTATATACAATGAACTACATCCTAATATAAGAGCCAAAAATAAAACATTCTCTATGCGAGAGTACATAAATGCAGTTTCTCATTTAAAAAATGAAAACATAGGGAATACAGAATCATTAAAATAATCAAGATCCTCTGGGGGCCAGCAGGTGGCATGGTGGTTAAGGGCACTGGACTTCCACATAGACAACAGTGATTCAAGTCCTGGACCTGATGGCTTGCTTGCTCTCGCTCTCTCTCTCTCTCGCTCTCTTGCTCTTTCTCTCTCTCTCACCAAATAAATAAATAAAGTTAAATAAAATAATTATTTTTTTAAAAAAATCAAGACTCTATTGGCTTCCCCATGGCATTGACTATATATAAAACCCTATCTAGAAGTGTTTTAAAAAGGGAGAAGGGCTAGGCCATTTATCTTTTTCTATTTTTTTTCAGATCAAGAAGGTGTTAATCTGTGGTATATAATAGATACTAGAGTATGTGCTGACTATTGTTCCTAGACTGGTTACTCAAACATCTAGTACTTGTGGTACTAGTCAAAGACAGATACAAAAATATATTTTGTTAAAGAAGTGAAAAAGTATAGCAACACATTAAACTTTTATAGAATACGTAACACAAAGACAGAGTCCTGACAATTTAGTGAATTTAAGAATCACCAGGGGTCGGGAACCAGCAGTTAGCGTAATGGCTATGTCGCTGGACTCCCATGTAGTCGACCACGGTTTGCGTCCTGGACCCAGTGGCTTAAAACTCACGCCAGGCGCGTGTGCATGCGTGCCCAAGATCCCAAGAGGAGAATGGAGGAAAAAGGATTGCGGATGGAAGAGAAGGGATTGTGGCGTGACCATCCCCCCTGGGGGGTGATTTCTCGCTTTCTGTCTCTATGTCTCTCTCTGTCTGTCTGGCGAGCACACACACCCTATAGCGAAAAATCTCTCCAAAAAAAAAAAAAAAGAATTACCAGGAGTACTGCAGTTACAGTCCCGGACCTGGCAGTTTGAAAATCACACTGGGCATGTGTGTATGCATGCCTAAGTTCTTGAGAGAAAAAATGAAGAGGAAAGAATTGCAGTGTAGCCATGCTCTCTGAGGGTGATTTCCCACTTTCCCTCTGTCTGTCTCTCTCTGTCTCTCTCCCTCAAACGTACACATCCTATGACTAAAACCTAAAAAAAAAAAGAATCACCAGAGAAGCATATTTTAAATTCAGATTGCCTACCATCACCCAGAAATTCTAATTTAGGAGGTCTGTAGAGCCCAAGAAGCTGCAGTTTTTAACTTGCTACCCATGAGGTTTTAATTCAGCATGGCTAGGGAACCACATTTTAAGCCAGTGTGCTCCCTGGAGCTGGCCTTCAATAAAGAGGTCTAGAAATTGTCCCAGAAAAATACATATATCTATACCTGTCAACCCTAATTTCAAATATCTATGATTTGCTTTATGTCCTTGAATTCAAATGTTTCATCTAGATTCAGACCACCCTTAAGGTTACCAACAATCACTACCACCTTGGGCTTATTCTTGGCCATTCGACCTGCACCAGGGGTAGGAAGCTTGGCCCAGTTCTGAAAAAATGCAGTCCAAAGAGGAAGTTTCTATAATACAGGATCCAAAGAAGCTAAAGGCACAATAAGAGAACTAAGCTATCAGGGCGAGAGGAGTAACTAACTAACTAACTGAGCGACCTCAGAAGAGAAGGAAGAGACAAGGAGAAAGCAGAGGGTATAGGAAAGCCGGATCGCCTCTTCACTGGTGGGCCAGCCCACTGAGATCAGAACCTTCCTGAAGGAAACACATGCTCTGTTGGGTTTATCCTTCATGTTAATTTCCCTTAGTTTAATTTACTTTGTGTGATTTTATAATGTTGGTGCCGGATGGCATTTTCAGTCTCTCCTTCGACTTCTAACTTTCCAGATAAAGAAGAAACTGGCTAGGCAGTACATTTAGGTAAGATGAAATAATCTGTTGCAGATGCAGATGGGAAAGTGCCAAATGAAGAAAAAAATCAAAATAAATAAATAAATAATTCCTATGTTATGTAAGTTTATCATTAACCAGAGAAAAAGGGGAAAGAGGGAAGGAAAAGCATTAGGAAGAGAAAGACCGTATATCTGAAAGAGAATTAATCTAGATTTAAGTTACCTAAGCATTAATCATGGTATTGACAGCTATTAGCTGTACAAACTTTGGAACTTAACCTTTAGCTTCCTGTCTGTAAAACAGAAAGAACAATACTTTCCTGACGCGCTGTCGTGAGAACCAAATGAGTTAATTAATACTAAGCATTTATCACAGTATCTGGTATATTTTACTTTGACTATGTTTCTTTCCCTTTCTCTTAACTGAAGAGGATTTGATGCCACTTAGTGATCATCTT